AGGCCTTCAGCCTCTACGCCAACATCGACATCCTCCGGCCCTACTTCGACGTGGAGCCTGTCCAAGTGCGCACCAGGTGGGCAAGGCCGTGGCCCGGCCGTCGCCTCCGCCGCGAGTGCCCGGGGGATTCAGGGGGGACCAGCGACTCCTCACCAGGGAGCGGCTGCCCCCAAGGCAAGCAACTCCGGTTGGGGCTGCCAGCCCTGCGCAGTGCCCAGATGCAGGGTAACACGCTAGGCTTTGTCCCCTTGTCCTTAAAGAGGTTCCCTAGGCGGGCTGGCCGCTATGTCACTTGTGGCCCAGCAGAGCTTCTCTGACTGAAACAAGGGCTTTGAGGCATCTTTAGCGTTTTATTGCCCAGCCCCGTCACGTGGTTTCTGTTGGACCTGCAACACAGTTGTGTTCAGAAAGGCAGTTCTGTGTCTTCTCAGGGAGCAGCTTACCTGACTGGAGAGAATGAGGCAAGAATTACTTTTCTAAAACCTTCCAAGGCCTAAGGAGCCAGCACTAGGGTACAGTTTGTACATATTTTTACAGCATGATTTTATCCAGGACTAACTCATGAGGAGGCTCGGCTAGCCCGCTGTCATGAAGGAGAAGGCTTTATATCATCAACATATGTTTTTTCATCCAGCCTCAGGTCAAGGAGTTCAGTGGCTCAGAAAATTAGGGATTGCTGTTCTGGCAGCAGTCCCCTCATCCCTGAATGGATCTGTGTATGTTTTCATTAAATCCCCCTGGCAAAGTTAGCCTGTGGATAATAAGATTGTTTTCTTTAGCTACCTTTTGTGACTCTTCAGAAGGAATCTGTGTCTACCAAGGCCTGTGAGGCACAGCAGGAAAATACTGGTGACTGGGGTATGGGATCTTTTACTGCTGAGGCATCTCGTTAACCTGGTTGTTTTTCCTGCTTTTGATGTCGTTCTGTGTTTTTTCTGTGATGCAGACTGCTAGAGTCCATGGTTCCCGTCAAGATGATTAATTTCCCACAGGTGAGTTCCCTTTTGCTGAATCAAACTCCATGGCTCAAGAGAATGTCCCACAGACACCTTGGAGATTTTGATTAGCCCGTGTTAGTAAGGGCCTGAGTTTGCTAGTTGTTCATCTGCCTGAAAATGCTGGTAAGCTCTTTCCCAGGGTGCTTCTAAACCCCTTTCTGCTACCCTTAATGCTGGTACAGTTCTAGATCTCCAGACTTCACTTATCGTGTTTTGGCATCCTGTTTAACACCACTTTGACTCTTAATCACATGACCTATTTTTCCTGGCTCCTGTCAGCAGCGGCCTTACTGTTACTTCTCAGATCAGTAGGTGGCTAAGTGACAAAATTCATCCAAGGCACTTCTCACATGGCTTGGGGTGGGGAGTCTGGCCTTCAGGAGCACTAACCAAGCCTTCCCTGGTCTGTCTCCTCCTGTAGAAGATTGCAGGCGAGCTCTATGGGCCCCTCATGCTGGTTTTCACGCTGGTGGCCATCCTCTTGCATGGGATGAAGACTTCGGACACCATCATTGTACGGCGAGTCTCAGGATAGGTTGGGGTTTGCACTGGGATCTGAATTGCCATAATGAGGCTAGAGAGGGAGAGGAAGCCTCTCCCGTGACTGAACAGCACCTTGCTGAAAAGCAGACTGATTTGAGGAAGAGTTAATTTGGGGGTAGGAGGAAGGAAGCATCAGAAAATCTTGATGCTGTGTTGCTGGAAGGGCTGGGCAGTAGGTCATGTGGCATCCTGGACGCTGCTGGCTGGCTATTCAGTCATGCCTAGCAAAGGCTCTGGGAACTCTCTGAGGTGGAATTTGGGTCCTGACAGGTCAGTTCTTTGCGCTCTCCTCACCCTGACACTGTCTCTGCAGAGGGAAGGCACACTGATGGGCACAGCCATTGGCACCTGCTTCGGTTACTGGTTGGGCGTCTCCTCTTTCATCTATTTCCTGGCATATCTGTGCAATGCCCAAATCACGATGGTGCAGATGCTGTCACTGTTGGTATGTATGGATGGGGCTAAGATGCAGGTTGGCTGCATGGTGCTTCAGCAGAAGGGTGGTGTGGGGGGGTCTTCCCTGAGACGTGGAAGTCTCCTTATCAATTAATGGTCCCAGGTGACTGCAGTCCTATTGCATGGGGATAGGCTGGAATTCCAAGTTGTTCTTCTGACTTGCCCCATCCCAGGTACGAGGACAGCACAAAGTGGCTGTTGCTTCATGCAGATCTGCTTTGGACTTCCTGATCTGAGAGCATGGTGGTAAAAAGCAGGAGATTCCAATTTCTCTGGAAACAGAGGCTGATTTTTTTCTCTGTTTCCCAAGTTGCTGTGATTTCTATCATCCCTGTGACTCCTTCAGGCAGAGAAGCTGGATGTGAGCTGCTCCCACAGCACACTGGCTTTTACGTTTGGTGTGCTGATTGACTCTTGGGTGTTGAGTGAGTGATTAGTGAAGCTTTGCCTCCATGAAACGCTGCAGGAGTAGCCTACTCATGGTTTTGACCAGTAGCCCTTCACGTGGGACTGTCATTCATAACACGTGTATTTTTGTTTTGTCAGGGCTATGGCCTCTTTGGACACTGCATCACCCTCTTTGTTACCTATAATATCCACTTCCACTCCCTCTTCTATATCTTCTGGCTGGGTGTTGGTGGACTCTCGACACTACGAATGGTAAGGGACAGGCAGCTGGGAGCCCTCCTGCTTTGGGGACAGAAAAAAAAAAAAAAAAGAGGAGAATGTCATTTGCTTTCTGTTTCTTGGGGCAGGCAGTTCATATCAAAGCCAGTTAGGCTGCTAAGAACAACAGCCTGACACTTCTGGGTTGCTTGGCCGCTGGTGTCTGGAAGTGACACTCGGCTTAATGTCCTCACGCATTCTAATGGCTGCAGGAGGTCTGCTCCCTTACAGCCCCTACTGTGGTGCAGAGTCCTGCCTGAGCATCCTGAACTCTTGGCAAGGCTGGACAAGCTTCACCTACATGAAACAGTCAGTTTACTTTGAATTTGGTGGTGTAAACTGCCAAAGAGTCTCTGAGTAGTTTCTGTTGGCTCTTACCACTTGGCCCATCTGCCTATGTGCATCTGACTGCAACGCCAAAGGCTGAGGTAGCAGCTACCTTGTCTGTAATCTCCACCTCTCTCCTAGGTTGCTGTGCTAGTGTCACGTACCGTGGGGCATACTCAGCGGCTCATCTTGTGTGGGACCCTTGCTGCTCTGCATATGCTTTTCCTCCTCTACCTGCACTTTGCTTATCACAAGGTAGTAGAAGGTAAGAAGGGGAGATAGGAAGGGAGTGCCTGTTAGATCTGGGGGAAGAGGAATTGCTTTTTGTTCCCTCCCAGAAAAAATACAGCCAGTTGGATCCAACCTGGGATCTGTGCCAACTTCCTATCCAAGAGCGGCCAGCGCTAGCTGTGTTAGAGGAAGCTGTCCAAATGGGGCAGCAGATAGACATGGGGTAATCTGTTTGTGCCGAGTCTCAGGGTTTAGGACAGAAGTTGTGAGGCAGAAGGTTTAATTTTCCCCATAAATGAAGTGTCACAGCACTGACTGTTCCACTCACGCAGATATCCAGTCCCTTCCTGAATCTTGCTGAAATCAGGTTGCTTTCTCTGGTCAGAAAATCCACAGTCAATGTATCGCAAGAAAAATCTTTTTCCTTCTTAAAATTGGTGTAATGCCTTTTTTTATCTTGTGTTGTACAAAACAGGCAGCAGAAGCTCCACCTCCCCCAGTCTGTGCTATTTACCAAGCTATACATATTCAGGTCTCCTTTTTGCATCTTTTTTGTTTTCCCCTAACAAAAGTCACTATCCCTTTAAAACAAACCAAAAAAAGTCACAGTCTTCAATCACTAGAGTTTTCAGATCCCTAAACGTGCCATTCTGTAGTCCCTTTTTTGAGTTTAGGCAACCAGTCCTGTTCATGATATTGAAGGTAAGTCTCGATAATTTAAGATTATAGCATGGCATTAAAAGTCCTTTTAGATGTAAATACAGTTCTTGCCTGCATCCATTCTCATGGCCAGCGTTCTGAGCCCTGATCTGTGACTCTTCAACAAATGACATAGGGTAGAATATACTCCACGCAATTTTCTTAAACAATCTCCAGGACCGATTATCAGTTTTGAGAGGGTAACTGATAAAGTCTGGAGGACACTTCCATCAGTACATATGTTTGCTTCCAAACCTGGTCCCTGTTTACATTGCAGCAATAAAATTCCATATTGCATCCCCATCTGCAGCTCCTGATGTAAGTCTGCAAGTGTATCTCAGGAGGGAAGCAACCAGTGGATCTAAGAGAGAGCTGGGGGTCTGTGCTGGGATGAGGTGGGGAGAGGATTTTATCAGGCTGCTTTGGCAGAGCAGCATCCCCCAGCAGTATCTGCATTCAGGTCAAACGGCAGAGGGTTGGATTTGGCACCCTCAAGGTGACACGATCTGTGCTTCCCTCGAGGACACAGTTTCCCTGCCCCAGGGATAAGCTCTGATCTGTACGCTGCTCTCTCTCTGGATGGAAGTGTTTATTGCTTTATCTGAAGCCAAAGGCTGCCTGCCCATTCCTTGGGGCTAGATGTCTTCTCCCTGCACGTTTCCCACATCCTAGGCCCTGCCATGGTCAGCCACGGGCCAGAGAGAGCAAGAAAAAAACGTCACGTGCATCTGGATCAGCGTGGTACTAACTCTTGCCACTCTCCTGTTTTTTTTCTGTTCTCTTCAGGTATCCTGGACACGTTGGAAGGACCTAACATGCCGCCCTTTCAGAGAGTTGCTAGAGACATTCCAGTTGTTTCCAACGCTGTACTGAACGCAACAGCCAAAGCCATGGCATTGACCCTGTAGTTTCATGAACTTGGACTTGCTTCCTTCACTACTTTCGGGGCTGTATAGAGCAGTATCCCTGCTGTCTCCTAGGAAAAGGACAGAGCAGCAGTTAAAAGGACAGAGCAGTAGGAATAGGACTTGGTTTTATGTTGTTTTCCTGGACTTTTCTTTTGGGTTGCAGTTTTGGGCAGCAGAGTGGGGCAGCACCTCAGTGACAGAATTAGGCTCTTCCCCTGCCCAGGTCTGGGCTGCTTGGCGTAGAGCAGTTCTGTCACCTGCACGCTTCGCTGGGATTTCCCAGCTCAGTTTGTCCCTCCCCCCATCTTTCTGCTTCCTCCTATAACCCCAGGGCTATGCGCTCTGTTCCTGTCCTGAGGAGGGAAGAATTAAATGGATGTTGGTGCTGAATGATGTCTTACATTTGAGCCTACTTGTGTAATGGGAGAGTGGTGGTGGGTCTCTGCTCCTTTGTCTGTCCCTTCCTTCCTAGACTCAAAACAGAATTCTTTGCACTTTTGTCCTGTCCCATTTCAAATGCTCCATGTTACATGGACAGTTTTTCAACAGTTGCCAAAAGGCACGTGAACTTTAGCGGGCTCAAGAGTTTTTTTGAAACAGCACAATGTTTAACCATATCATCTCTTTCTTGTTATGCTCCATATTGATCCCTCTCTCTTTTCACGTGGTCCAAGCTGCTGTCTCGCTTCACTGTCCGTTCTTTTGTGTGTATAAGAAGTGTATCTCTGTCCCTCTGCTTTCACAGCACCTTTTGTTCTTATCTGCCTTCTGCCTGTGTCGCTCTCTGGGACTGCAGTTCTGACTGCAGCCTGCCCCAGAGGCAATGTGTGTGTGCGCGCACAGTCTTCTGTGATATTTCTGTTACAGAGGCTAGTTCACCCTCATGCACCTTGCTCTTGTGTCTCCCAGATGTGGGATTTTTACCTCATTTCTCTCTCCGGTCAGCAGAGGCATCCTGCTGCCCCAGATCCACCATGTACGGCATCTGTTGTGTACTCTCCGGCTTTTCAAGTAGAGGCTAGGTCTTCTTTCTGAAGAGGCTCCTGAGCCTTGAGAGAGAGAGAGTGTGTCTGGCAAACTCCTCTCCAGTAAAAGCACTTCTGTAAAGCAAGGGGGAGTCTACAATGGTAATGGAGTTGGCACGTTCAGCCCCAGTGTCCTCATGCAGGAAAGCTCCAGTAACTACGTGGAAATGGAGCGACCTAGGCTAGGCTTACTTGAACTTCAGAAACTCACGACTGCATAATTTGGATGTAATCTTCCCTCACTGCTCTAACTTGTCTGGTCCAAGAGTGGAAAGCTGTTAGCTGATACCTGGTTTTCAGCTTCTCTCTCTTCTTCCTTTAGCTCAGGATGACTGTGGGAGAGGAACCCACCCTGAGAGAAGTTTTCCCTCACCTTCAGAATGAAAAAGCCAAGGACTTTCCCTCTCTCAGTATTCCCACAAATTATCTGAGCATGAGGTAGAGGGCATGTCAGAATTGCACTCTTTTGCTCCTTGCCTATATTGGTGGGAGAGGATGCTGCTGTAGCAGCATTCAGACTGGAAGCAGGGTAAAAAGAAAGAGAACACAACAGTGCCAGCTACGCCAGTCAGGCTGGTTATCTGCTTCAATTAAAAAAAAAAAAAAAAAGTCAATGGCAAATTGCCACTGGAATAATTCCAGCCAAAAAATGACCAAAATGACCAAAAATCATTCCGGGTCAAACTCTTATCCTGTTGGATCTAAGGGCACCACTGGAGAAGAGCTGTGCTTGCCTCCCATGCTTAGCCACTTGGCTCCAGCTGTGAGCCAGGTTTTTACTCAGCGCGAGGGGATGGCAGTGAGCAAAGTCCTCATTCTACCCCAGGCAGGTTCTGTGCTGTGTCTGGGCTAGAGATAGCCAACCAAGGTGACAAGTGGCTGACCACCATTTTGGCAGCTGTGGGGCCCCACTTTCTCAGCCTCAACTCATTCTCTGTGCAGTAGAAGCTGGAGTCTGAAGTGCTCTGTACAAGCAAAAGTTCAGGGCTCTGCTGAGCCCTGAGAGAGGCAGCATGCCCTTTTGCTGAGAAAGAGGGAGAGAGAGGAACGTGCTTTTGCAGGGAAGTGCATGAGTTGCCGCAGCTCCACAGAGCATGCTGAGCATGCAGCCTTCATAAAGTCCTTGCGGGAGGGCATCTCTCAGTGCTTACTCAAGTCTTCTAGTTACCAGGATAAGCATTATAAATCTAGCATGCCAGACTGTTTCTGCCTTTAATGCCTTTATTTCCTGCTGTGGCTGTTGGAGCAAATCTAAAACATTTTCCCCCCTCCTTTCCCTTTTGAGGAAGGGTAGCTCTGAGTCTTGTGCAAGCCACTTTTTATTATCCAGCTAGAATAAATATATAAGGCTGTTAGATTAGAAAGAGGATGGTAAAATGTACATAAAAGCATGCTAGGCCTCCCTCTCTCCTCTACACTGCCTGGGAATCCAACCCTTTTTACATTCCATCCTTGTTATGCTTAGTCACCTCAGTCCTGTTTCAGGTTGCAAGTAGGCTGCTCCCGTTGGCTTTTCGTCCTGTGCCTAGTCTCGCTCTAGCCGCTGGTTGTCCACCTTTTTTCTCCATGTGTTACGTGTTAGCTATTTATGGCATCAGTGTAGAGAGTCAACTCTCACTCCTTGTGTCCCAGAAAGTAAATGAAGAACTACCTTCCTCATACCTGCTGAGTAACTGCACGTGATGAGGAAGTAGCGCCAAGTTCTTGACAAAATACTCCTGCTG